CTAGTGGCTATAAGAATTCAAATATCAAGAGCCCGAAGAGAGTAAAGGAGCAAAATAAAGAGGGAGGAATGAGAAAAGAAAATGGAGGAAGGGAGGGAGAGGTGGGAGGGAGAAAAAGAGAAATAAATAATGTTTTATTTATTTATTTTTTAATGTGTGTGAGTATTTTGCCTATACTCACCACACGAGTGCTTAATGTCCACAAAGGTCAGAAGAGGGGTTAGATCTCCAGGAACTGGAGTTACAGAGGTTGTGAGCCACCTGGTGAGTGCCAGGAACTGAAGCCAGGTCCTCTCAAAAGCAGTCAGTGCACTTAAGCACTGAGTCATCACTCGAGACCCAGGAATACATATTTAAATCATAGAAACTATGCTGCGATTCAGATATGGAATAAGCTAAGGAGGAAGGGAGAGACAGCTGCCATCAAGACACATTTGAATTGCTCAAGCCTCTGCTTGAGTTAGCAGCTCTCCCGATGCAGTTTCCTAAATGTCCTCTGAATAAAGCCTAGCCAGGAAAGATGCCTTCACTAAATGCTTTCAAAAAGAACCTTGAGTAGAGGAGGGATGTGAAGAGGAATGGAAATGAAGGCAGTACAGGGAACAGCAGAGGGTACTGCATGGTCACCTAAGCTCAGTCCTGCCAGGTGCCACTAGACGACAGTGTGAGCATGTGAGTTGTTCCACCCAATGTGGGGTGGGGGCTGCTCTTATTACCACCGACTCCTGTAGCTCTTTCACAGAGCACATACTCAGATATTGGATTGCTAGCACTGGAGCCTGCCCTATATGAACACTGCAGCCTCCAATAGCCTCAGAAAGCCCTCAGGCAGAGAGACTAAGTGCTGATGATAGAAGGGCTGCATGCCCAGAATGCCGAGTATCGGGATGGTATGAGCAGGGCACAGAAGGTGTTTGCTACAAAAATTGGTCCAAATTGTACGTGTCTGAATAATTTTAAATTCCGTTGTGGAGCTCACTTAATCTAGTCCTGATTACATTTGTTTATTCATTATACCCTGGACAAACCAAGTTATGTGTTTGCCTATTAAAATAATCAATTAAATCTTTAAAATTTGTTCATGGTGCCAGAAATTTCAGAGTATCAATTTTGTCATTTGGGGTATCCCAGAGTGGAAGGAGGAACTTCTAAAGAAGGAACACTCTGTGACCTGGGGAGAGCTCAGTATTTCTTGGTAAATCACAGATTTCATTTGACTAGGAAGTAGACAGGGGGCAATTCTACAAGAAATACATTTGCCAAATTAAAATAAACTGGGAAACAAGACTTAGGAACCAAATATGTAATGAAAACACAAACAATATAATAGAAAAAAATGGAATCGGAGGGATTCTGAACCAACTTGCAACCAGTGATCAGAACCTTCTTCTAAACTACTCTGAGTACTATTTAATATCTTTAAACACAGGGATAAAGACAGAAAACCTGAGAAAAGTGTGGCTATGTTTGATGAAAGGAAAATTACATAACTCAATTGCATTTCTCGGATCCTGGTGTTAAAGTCACCTGAGAAATCATTTCCAAGAGATTATACAGACACCATAGAGTTCTTCCCCAGGTGTCTTCTCAGAGATTCCTTGACAGAATTTTGTGGACAACACCAGTCGGTCAGTCAGCTTTTGGGAGACACTAATCAAGTTTAAAAAAAATCCATTAAACACGCACCAATATGTATGCACTGAGCTTATATCTAAGGCCTGAAGTAAGTAATCTTTGGAGCTCTCTACAGTTTCCTGCTTGCTGGAGGTGGCCTGATGGACTGAGTGCAAACAGAAGATCCCTCGATTGAACTCAGTGAGCAAATCACTTCCTCCAGACCATCCTCTTGGGGACCAGGAACCACTTTTGGTGTATCTTTGATGTCTCATGCAAGTCACGGACACTTCATGAAAGATGACTGATGGCACAAAATAATAGTAAAACAAATGCTCACTCATTGCAAGTTGCCATTGCCAGACTTCCGATTCCATGTGTCTTCAGCACTTTTCCCAGTTGTGGGTTAATGGAACAGACTGAGGAGAAAATCTATTAACACAGAGGACCATTCTTTGGCTGAGGTCTGAAATCGGCTTCATAACATAAGGACCTCTCACCTCCTCTCAAGACCTTTCTGTGTTAAGGAACAGACAAGTTACCTCTCACTTTCTTCCTTCTTTTTGTTCTAGATAACCCTCCATTCTCAAGTTCAAACTTCATCTTTTCTTCACAGGTTGTCTCCACATTTACCTTCCGATCGTGGAGTCCCAGGTACCGCACAGTCTTCCTAATGAGGTCTCCTCCCAGCACCTCCACTGCCCTTCCACATCCCCTTGAGAGTCACTCACAGCCCAGTTCGTGCCTGCAGTATCCCACAGCTGCCGGATGTCTTATGTATCCGGTGTATTCAGTCTAATATCTTGAATAAGGCTTCTTGGAATTTTAAGTATATGACTCAGCTTTGAATAAATATAGTTTAATGAATTGTCTAATATCCTTAGGACTCTCTTCATTGTATTGCCTAATTTATTAAGTCATTGCTGATGTGTTTAAAGGAAAAACTTCCAGAAAATAGGGACTGTGAGGACAATCGTAATTACCTTGTAGGTTTATTACAAGTCTTTGAGGTCGAGTTTTCCAAGTTGCCCAGTGTGCCTTCTTCTCTGTGTATAACACTGCTCTTTGCCACTGTGGCAATCAGTATAAATACATTACTTTGCAATAGCATAAAGCCTGGCACTTCCAGCTAGAATGCAAGCTTATAGATACAGAAGTAATCTATTGACTGAAGGCCTATAGGTCAACTATGGAAGAAATATGAAACTTTAGTAGTCACTGAAGAGTACAGAGAGAGAGAGAGACGGGAGGGAAGACAATTCAGACATCTGATCCATTGTCTGTTTTCACAAGGCAGCAGCATAGCGAACAACCACTATGTCTATATGAAATAGATACTAAATATTGACATTTTGCTGTGCATCTATCTGATTAGGTAGTTCTACCAATCAGACTTTGGCTTGTGCATGCACCTTTAGTGGGTTTCTGGGTCAGTCAAGAGGTCGTCTGGTCCACCAGGGACTTGATCCGGATAACCAGGTTCTTATCTTCATGGTCTCTATCTAACAGATAAATGAAGAAACATTTTTTATGGCAGAGATAGAAAGGAATTCAAGAGAACAAAGACTCATACTCTCTTCTCAAGTCTAACCTCAAGGTAGGAACCATGACATTGGCACCATAGTTAGCTGCTTCAGCAACAGGACCAGCCTAAAGGTAAAGCAGGTAAATTCTTCTCTTTGCACTGGGAGACAATGTAAAGACCCATGCAAATCCACAGGACAGGGATATGAACTGACACCACCGATTTAATCTATCATCTTCGTAATCTGTTACTTATTTGACAACCAAACTAAAAAAATTAAAATGAGATTACAGAAACAAAACAAACAAAAAGAAACCAAACTGTAAGCAGCCTTCTTAAGTACACCTAAAACTAGTGGCAGTAAGGGAAGGCGCAGCCATTTAGTCAGGTGCTCAGTAGACACTGAATGAGCATGTCTACCCTTCTTAGGACACTCTTGTCACTTGCTGTTACATAACTGCACAGGGCAGCTGACATGTAAGTACCAATGTCCCTGTGCTCACACAGCTCACACCTTTTGGATCTGCTAGGAACAAGTGTTAGGGGATAGTCCTGTGTGCATTATGGTAGATAGTTGATACATCTGTGCTGGTCACTAATAGAATAAGTGATAAATACAGGGCAAAGATCACAGAAAATGTTCTCTTGGACTTCTTATGTTCTAGGGGGACTTCTTGGGATATGTTAGAAAAGGAAAACAGAATAAAGAATGAAGCACCTAAGAAAGGACATTTATACACCTCATTTTTCGTTATAACTCTATTTTTATTATCTTTGATAATTTTTGTGTGGTATGTGTGTGGGGTCTTACATAGTATAATACTTGTTAGCACAAATATGTGAGTGTATGCAGTTGGGCCCACATGCCCAAGCATCTATATGCATCTGGATGTCAGAGATTGATATTGGTGTCTTCTTTGGGTCCTTTCTACCTTTAATTGTTGTAAGACAGGAATCTCTTTCTGAACCTTAAACTCTGAATCAGCTAGACAGCTGACCAATGACTATCAGGGGTCTGCTTACATATATCTACCATACACCAAGTGTTATGTGCTGCTGTGCCTGACTTTTTCTATGGGTTCTTGGGACTTGAACTCAGGCACTGATGGATGTATGACAGGCACCCTATGGACCGAGCCATTTCCAGAGTCTTTTCTCAAAGGTGTGTCAAGGGATGAGCTTGAACATGGATAGCACCAGTCACCACACCGTTCTAGTCAGAAGGCAATAGCTGCTTGTATAAAACAGGAGCCTCTCAGAATCACTGACACAACAGCCCAGACCAAGTAGGAACCTTTACTAAGGGAAAGTCCTCAGGCCCCATGGTATCCAGGTCACATAGAATTCATGGAGAAACAGAAGAACAGGAAAGATGTGATTCATGTGTCTTTCTTTCAGAACGTTATCAGTGGCAGATATGAGAAGCCAGAACGAAACTGAAGGCTAAGTTATCCCTTTTATAATGTGTATATACACACTGTACACCACACTGGTGAAACAAAGAGGTGTGCTGAACCAACGAAGCCATAGAGAAAATCCCTTAGCCTTCACTCGTTCTTGGAGACAGCTTTCTCAGACCCTCTGTGAGGTCAGGATTTGCTGTATGAAGGGGGAAAGCCTCTGAGCCAGAGCGGAGGGTTCCCTTGATTTGAAAAGTGAATTTCAAGATGGAGATAATGAGAGAGAAGCATCGCCACCCAGTTGTTTGTGTGTGCGTGTGATTGTATGGACGTGAATGCACGTGATTATCCTCAGTGTGTCTGTGTGTAATGGGGCATTAACACAGACTCACGCAAGCTGCTCTGCTTTATGAGTTGGATTTTATTTATTTATTTATTTTTTTAAAGAAAATCAAGCCATGTTTTTTTTCCCTTCCCATTCTCAGAGACGAAGCAGTTTACAGATGCAGAATCCTTTTTTAGGACTAATTCTCGATGCATCATTCAAATATCCTTTGAGCTGAGCACACGATATGCACATCATGAATACATATAATCACCACGCAGCCCTTTGTGAAGACTTTGAAAATAACATCTGAAAGAGCCGACCGTGGGTCTCCATCTGAGGCTGTGCATTTGGTTAGTGTGGCTGAGCTGACTCTGGCCACTTATTTCCTCTTTAACGGGCTCTGTTCCATCTCCTGTGGCTGGAAACACTGAACACTTTAGCGGTACTACAGTAAAGAAGTAAATCACAATTTCTGGACCCCTGTGAGAACAGTATAGGTAAATCTGGTCAATGAATGGCAAAGGTACTCAGGTACTTGTAGAATTTCAAAACATGGCACACAAACAGATACTTCTTTAAAAGATTGTCACCTTAAAGTTAGCTCATCTTGCTCTTTCCGTCCTACCCTGGGGCTGATGTTCAAAGCAGCACTGGTCCTATTTCTCCGCTGGAGACAACGGTAAATACAATGAATGCTTTTCAACACTGGAGCGCAAAGGCGCCTCTTCTAGGTCTGTGACTCGTTATTACACGAATCCATAATTGTTTTTCTTAAACCTTCTTTTTGAAAGGATGTAACAAAGATTTTTTTTAATATGTTATAGCTGTTCTCTGAAATTCACGACACTTAGATGAAGGACTGTAGAATGTTTTCGCTTCCAATGGAGATCTTTGTGGGTCTGAACTTGTTGACATTTTTACCCCTTGGTTACATCTCTTTATGGAGCAGATCATGGGCTAGATTTGCTCAGTAAGCATTCTTCATGCTCCATTGTTGGGAAGATAGGTTTGTCTAACTCGATATTTCATGTGAACTTGAAGCATTTTGGCTCAAGGAGTCACAGCAAATGGTTGAAAGCCTGTTAACCTTGTTTTCAGATCCAGTGGTCATTAGATAAGTTTGGCCTTTGAAACAACCAACAAGCAAAGACATGTATTATTTGTCATATGAAGGAAATAGATTTTTGGTGGATCATTCCAATTTTAAAACTATTGCTTTTGAATCTCAAAAATGTTTCCACAAACTAATTGTAATCATATAAAATAAATAAAATCATATTACGTGGATATGATATCTATTCATTTAAAGAGTTATTGTCCATAATATGTGTTGTAGATAGTCAAGAAGCAAAATATACCTTCATTCCACTAAAATTTTATTTTTCAATTTCAAATGCAATTGATTGCTGATACTTTCATTGTATTTTACATAAGGATCATATTTAAGGCTGTATTTAACTAACGAATAAAACACATATGTGATGGTATGAATGAGAATGTCCCCTACAGACGAATGTGTTTGCATACTTGGTCTGTAGTTGGTAGAACTGTTTGGGAAATATTAGGAGGTGTGACCTTGCTGGAGAAGGTGTGTTACCGGGGGTGGGCTTTGAGATTTCAAAAACCCATGCAATTCCCACTTAGTTCCTTTCCGTGTGTGTGTCTGTCTGTCTCTGCTTCGTTCTTGTGGATGATATGAATGCTCTCCACTTCTGCTCCTGAACCATATCTGCCTGCCATGCTCTCTACCATAATGGATTCTCTCTTTATTACTGTAAGCAACAACTGAATGCTTTCTTTTCAAAGTTGCTTGGTCCTGGTATTTCTTCACAGCAATATAAAAGTAACTAAGGCAACCTACTATATAGCATCCGCAGAGTTTAAAATATTTAAAAATATTAAAAGTAAAATGCAATTCAAAAGCAAACTTTACGGGTACACCACGATATTAATAATAATAGTAAAATGGGTAGTTTTGGAGAACCCACAATATGCCACATCACAGATGAAATCTATGGCCTAATATTTAACCTTGTGCTTCTTACAGAGAAACTGGGGGAGTGAAAAGGAGAGAAACAACCAATAGCTGAGGAGGGCACAAGGCACCTCCCTGAGACTGTTGAAGAGATGGCCGGAATCAGCTGAGTTGTTTCCAGGTTTTCTCAGTCAATGGATCAGGACAACAGTCAGATGCAGAACGCCAGGGACCAGAGGAAAGGTCCTGATGAACTTACTGAGCCTCCCAAGAGGGTGCTGTGCATCACTATAAATGGGGACACTTGAGCCCTTGTGAGGGAGAAACAATGGCACCATCTCTCTTTAGTATTCCTTGCCCTTCAAACTTTGTGCCCTATCCCTGATCCCGACCCCTGCAACTACACTCCAGCTACACTCAGCTCCAAGCACGCATCATGTTCCTAGCTGCAGTAGTTCTGTTGCTCTGGTCTCCCTCCTAGGATGAGTGCACTCTTTACTCTGCTGCTGCTTACACTCCACCTTCAGAGTGACATCCCCAGTAATCAAAGCAGAGATTTGCGACTCTCTGTCATGTGCACCGTCTCAGCATTTATTAACTTTGATATGCACTTGATTTATTGCTTCTTCAATAGCATGGGACGCTCTAGCACAAGCAAGCACCACTTACATCTGGTCTATAATACTCCAAAAATATTAACTATTATTTTTCTCTTGCTTCTTCTAACTCTGCCTCCCCGACAGTCCTGCTCACCACAGTCTAGCTGGATTCTGTCTTGTCTCCTTGCAGAACTGGATTACTATTCCCATGGCAGTGGGAGCTTCACTTGCATTTTCTGAAGCCTGTGACAGGCATGTCTATGGTTTTTATTTCTAATACTGCAGGTTTAAGCGTATTACATTTTGATGTGAGTTCTATTTGTGTTTTTTTTTTAAATAACAGACTTAAGAATATTTAGGAAAGATGTAAACAGGAAATTCTTGTTTTTCCTTTAAAATCGATGTGTAAGAATTTTCTGCTCAAGGTTGTCAGGTTAATTCAGGATTCCACTCAAATAATTGAAGGTTCTCTCTAAGTTTCTCATCTGTAAATGGGCCAAGTCATAATGCGGTTCTCAGGAGTGAATGTTCTCAACCTGGCAATAAAAGAACACCTTTCTGCATGAAATGGTTATCATATGTAGGTATTCGATATAGTAACAGAAAGCTAATATGCAGTGTGTGTGCATGTGTGTGTGTGCATCCCGTTATAAATTATCTTTGGCTTGTGCAGAAACAGAGATTTAGAAGATCTTTTGAAGACACAGTCTTCAACAACACAGGCTCTAGTGACAGCCAACTCTCTGAAGGAGACTCATTTTCATTTGCGCATATTTGTTAGAGGCAAGTTCTTGCTGTGTGACCCGGATTGGTCTCTAACTCACTATATAACATATCTAAGGCTGGCATTACACATGCAATCCCCTTGCCTCTACTTCTTAAGTGCTAGGAATACAGGCAAGGGATACACAAGACATGAAGGCTATTTTCTTAACGTAACTCTTTATCCTTAAATGTTCTTATAGCATGGGGTTGAAAACAATCTTTGTCACACTATGGCAATGGCTACTTGAATATAATATTTTGTTTTAAATAGGATTTAGGTTTTGATAAGCCATAACTATATAATATTTACCTATGTCACTGGGATAGATGGGCCCTGCTCTTTTGTTTTCAAAGCTAATTTTTTACTTGCATAAAACACATTTTTCATCAACATTTCCTTCTTCTATTATATTTCAAAAGGAACCCTAGAAGAAGCATTGATTTCAAGAAGTGACTGTTATGACAGAATTATAAGCAGCCTGAAGCATCCAGATTAATATAAATGTCCTGGGTATGACGACCTGCCCCCACCAGCAGTGTTTTTTTTTTTTTAATAAGATGGAACAATTTACCTGGGAAAAACATTTAGCAGACACAGAAACTGTGTCACTTGTCCAAAGAGAGGGCACAGATAAATATTTCCACGTGGCTTTTGCTTGCTCCTTGACACTAAGCCACCCATCATTCGTGCCTTTATATATCACACTTTTAGCGTCACTATCGTCACCAGCATGAGCAAACGGCAAAGCTCAAGAGGGTATGCTCCATCCTGCTTCGAGAGCAACTGCTCAGCTGGACTTTCAGGACGCACACAAATGGGTCCACTCAGCTCTGGGGAAAAGGGGGTCAGAAGGATGATGACCAGGAAATGTGAGGAGGGTAGCTCTCTCTTTTTCTAAATTTTGGAATCAGGCCAGGGTCACTGATTCTAATTAGCAACAGCCCAGATCCTTTTCCCCACAGGTACTGGGGAACCTGTAAGATGAACCTGGTCTGCCAAGTCAGAGCTTGTATTTAATTTGGGGAGGGAGACGGGGAGGAAGCACTCGGCCAAACCCTGCTGGGCTCTTTCTGGGCACCTAACAGCCAAGGAAAAGCAGGGGGTGGGTAATGGAGTCCATTGTTGGGGACTGGGGCAGTATAAATTAGGGACACAGAGTTTGAAGAAAGCCAATGGTAAAAGCAGGGAGGAAGGAAGAGAGGACCAGGAAGGCCAAGGTGAGCACAGCAAGCAACTTTGTGAGGCTGCCATTGACATTCCTCAGCTCCCTCATCACAGCAATCTGCAGATGACAGTGTCACCAAACAGTTTACCAAGCACCCACCACGGGAGAAGCACTTTGCTGACAGGATTTTCTGTAATCCTTGTTGCAATCCAATATGATCAGTTATTTTATGTACAAGGAATGTGGCTTTACAAAAGAGCAAGGGTCACCGGTTAGTAACAGAATCTTAATTCAACTGAGAGTTAGACTCCAAAGCTTGCTTTCTACTTCAATTTTCACAAGAGACCAAAAACTATAGAGGAGACTCATTAACTTCTAACGGGTGGAGGGGCATATGTTAAGATCAATATATTAATGAAGAAGACAGTTTTGGAAAAATGCATTACTTCATCATTCCAAGATGAAGGTTCAGAAACAGGTGCAGCTCATTCTAATATTTTCTGTGTGAAATTTCTTGTGGGGGAGCACTAAGGAGGCTCGGTTTCTTGCTAGGTTCCCATGATGGAAGTCTTAGAAATAGCTGTCTTCGTTACGGAGCTATTATGAGAATAATGACACAAGTATAAAGAATACACGTTGTGTAAAAAGATCAGCGCACATCTATACTACGTCTACCAAGTGTTCCTTCCAATAAAAATTTTACAAAAGACAACTGAAATCCCAGACAATGATGTGCCAAGAGGGCTTCGCCTCTGTTAGTCAACACCAGGTTCCCAAGCAGCATTTGAGAGCTCACACCATAAGCATAGACTTTCCCTCAGTGGGCTTGAAGTCCTAAAGTTCTAAAGAGTTATGAGGTGATGGCAGTCGCCCACGCGCTTCTCTTCCTGGAGGATCTAGGTGTGAGAGGTTCCAGAGTCTCACAGGCCAGCTCAAATACTCACTTGATTGGACATGGCTGAAGCCACCATTTACCAACACGTAAAGGTGGCCAACTCCATAGGTGAATAAAGTGGGCAGCAGTTCCACCTGAGAAAACACAGTAGTAATTCAGTCATATTTCCTTGGGAGTTTCTTCAGCCTTCAAAAACACATGCTTTTCATTCTGCTTAGATTGACTAGCTTGAACTTGAACTTCTGTCTACAATCACTCCCTTTCGGGGGAGTATGTCCTCATCCTCTCCAAAATTACTGGTATCTGGAAGATGCTGTTACCCCTTAAACCTATAGCAAGATGTTGGTGTAGGAGGTCCTTTTGTCTATAGGCCGCTTTAATTGGTTAATGAATAAAGAAATTGGCTTCACCTGATAGGGCAAAACTTAGGTAGGTGGAAAAGACAGAATTGAATTCTTGAAGGAAGAAAGCAGAGAAGAGAGCCGCCATGGAACCGCCAGAGTCAGACATGCTGAATCTTTCCCGGTTAGCCACTGTCACGTGGCGATATACAGATTAACAGAAATGGGTTAAATCAAGATGTGAGAGTTAGCCAATAAGAGGCTAGAGTTAATGGGCCAAGTAGTAATTTAATTAATACAGTTTCTGTGTGGTTATTTCGGGGCTAAGCAAGCCGGGCAGCTGGGAGAAATAAGCGGGCCCTCCTCACCGTGCTACAAGATGTGGTAGATTTTTACAGTATACAGTATAAACAGTAAGTTATAGTGGGATGTATAGTATACCACTGTTCTTAATTCTCTGTTTTCCATATCAATTATTTCTTCTCTAGTCCCCTTTCCAACATCTGGTATTCTTGGACCACCTTATTGGTGTCTGTTTGGGGAGCTGTACATATTTCTGGGGTACCATGTGGAGAACCTAATGTGGGAAGCACAGTTGTTGATCAGAGTGGTAGCAGGCATGGGTTATGTTCTATGTGGCTCCTGCTTCCTCCCCTGGGGCATCTGCAGTGCTCCTGTGTGAAGCTCCTAGGAGCTGTCAAAGCACATTACCATAAGCAGGAGACTCACAATAGTAATGTGTTCTCTCTCAGCACTGGGCGTCCACCTCATTATCCCAGGACCCCAGTGTGAAGTCAAGCTGCTGTCTGACCTGTGCTACCTGCAAAGAACGAAAGAATCCACGGGTTCTCCTGGATCTGGTGGCCTCAGACTTGCCTGAGCTTATCGCTATAAAACTTCTGTCTTCCTCTTTCTTCTCATTACCTTCATCTCTTCTCTCTTTCTGTGTACTGACACAAGCACAGGGTGTGGGTGGGTGGGTGGGAATGCACGCGCACGCGCATGCATGCGTGCATGCACGTGTGTTCAGAGGTACTGGAAGTTGGCGTCTGTTGTCTTCACCTATTCACTACCTTCTGTCTTCTCCCTGTGTGGGGGAGGGGATGTGCTCTAGGTTGATGTCTGGTGTCTTCTGCAATCACTGCCCATCTCATTTTTCATTTTGGGAGACAAGTTCTCTCAGTGAACTCTGAGCTCTTTTGTTTAGCTGGGCTGGTTGGTCAGCAAGCTCCAGGCACCCATTTATATTAGCTTCCCCAGGACCTGACTTAAACAGACATACACCACTGCTCCAGCTTTCGTGTGTGTGTGTGTGTGTGCATGTGTGTGTATACATGTGTGTGTGTGTATGCATGCAGGAGTGTGCATACATGTGTGTGTGAGTGTGTTTGTATGTGTGCGTGAATGTGTGTTTGTGTGTGTATATGCATGCGTGTGTTTTTGTGTATGTGTGTGTATGCACGTGTTTGTATGTGAGTATGTGTGTATGGGTGTGCTTGTGTGCGTATGTATATTTGTGTGTGTGTGTGAATGTGCGTACACATGCCCACTGGGAATCTGAATTCTAACCCTCATACTTTAATAGTAGCAAGCACTCCACAGAGCTCCCTGTCTAGCCTCCTGCTCTCTTCTCTAAAAAGGAGATTTTCTAAGACTGTCACATCTTCAGAACCTTTATTTCACTCATCCCCAGAACCTTTCTCCAAGCAAGGCCACATTCCCAGGGTCTGAGCACCATGATTTAGCTTATGTGTCTCTGATGGATGTTTGCCTGGTTCTCAACTTCTCTGTGACCTCCATAATGTCCCATCCCTGAGAAATCCACACAGCTATAACAAGCACCCTTGAAGTAGTCTTTCCTGCACTGCATTCAACTGATTCATTTGGGATTCTGACATTAGCAACTACAACTAACCATGACCTTCCAACTAGACTCTGATGTTAGTTCCCAGTGTCAAAAAACACAAACAAACAGCAATAAAAACTCTGCTAACTCTGATTATTGGCAATAAAATTCATGACTTACAATCCAAGAAAGTGACTTGAGTTGTAGCTCAATGGTAATGCGTGTTCAGTACAATGCTTGGCCCTGGGCTCAATAGTCAATGCAGAAAGAAGAAAAGATGGGAGGGAGAGAGGGAGGGAAGGAGGGAGGAAAAAAGGAGAGAGGAAGGGAGGGAGAGAAGGAGAAAGAGAGGGAGGGAGAAAGGGGGAGAGGGAGGGAGGGAAGGAGGGACGGCGGGCGGGAGGGAAGGAGAGACAGAGGGAGGGGAGAGCGGGAAAATCAATCACCTGCAATACCAACCTGCACAAATTTTGCATATGTTCTTTGGTGTTGTGGGAAGAGCAACCATGATCATTCATACCTTCACTCTTGTCTAGACTTTGAGCAGATCTTGCCATGCTGACCAGCTATATCTGAACACAATGAAAACACGCATCTGCTAACTGAAAAATTCAAGAAAAATATTTTATTTTAGAAGTTGGCTTTTTTTTTGAGGAGGGAGGAAGTAGCTGTCTTCTAATTTGGGTTGGGTTAGATGGTTAGGTAGAAGGCTGTTCTCTGGAGAGTCCTCAAATTTGCATATATCCTGTTCTGTCACCACTTTGATGTCATAAGGAATCCAAAGGTTCCCAAGAGGGCTTCCATTGAAGAAAGTCAAGTTGTGTAAGAGTGTTGTGTGTGTGTGTGTGTGTGTGTGTGTGTGTGTGTGTGTGTGTGTGTGTGTTCTACTCACGGGCTCTGCCTCCTGCTGACAAAGGGCAAACTGTGCCCACAGCTATGACTTCAAATCAGACATTAACCACACCAGTACAAAATCAAGCCAATGCAGAGCTGGGTCTCCCTGCTGTCTCTGGATCCCCCTGCTCTGTGAGATTTGATATTATCAAATTAAATTTGTTTTCACAGAAAAGTTATGCTTGTTTCTACCAAGTCTATGTATCTGGGGTTAAAAAAATGTGTATATTTAAGTTATGTTGTTCATGGAAAAACTAGTGTCACCTTGCTCCTTGCCCCTCCCTTTTCTTTTGTTCCTCTCCCTCTCTCCCTCCTCCCCGTCTTTCATTCCTTATGTACTCTCTCCCTAGTCTAAGTGAGCCATTTGGACCTTTAAGAATAATGCTTGCTATTTCCTAGATAAACTTCAAACATGGGATCATCTTTTTTAAATATCTAAATTGAATCTTCCCTATATAATGTGCATATAACTATTTAAAGGAAGTTGTAAAAGAAAAATGATATTTAGCAAACGGAATAAACACATATAAAAATTTGCAGAGCCATACACATACATATGCATGTGTGAAATGTGTATGTGTTTGAAGTTAGGATTTGAAAAGTGTTTGCCAAAATTCGGAGCTTCGTGTAAAAATAGCCCTGTGTCTGTATCATTTAGTTTCTCTTGGAAACTTTAAAAAAATATAATATTTTTGATGGCTTACCCTGCACTGCCCAGTTATATTAAGATAACAGTAAACTACATTCTTATGCCTGTCATAGCATTTAGCCTGGTGCTGCTTGCACTTTGAGTAATCTATTAAGATGTATAGAGTGTAAAATGCTGCCATAGTGTTGTTGAGTTTGAGCTATCAGCTGTAACACCTAAGTGCAGTTATTGCCAGTGTGGAGCCCTGGCTGCTTCCCGCTACAGACCTCAGCAGCCAAAAGGTTTGTGGCAGTGACCCCTGGCTGCCTTGGCCACCACCATGGGGGTTGCCCAGAGTGCTTTCTCCCTGTCTCTGCTCCCTCTGCTCCCTCCCCTCTCTATTTTCTTGCCCGTCATCAATCTTCCTAAAATGACAGCAGACAGATGTTAGCCCTTGCATAGATCAAATGAAATCTATGGCTCTGGGGCCGTTCACCAAAGATCAGGGCAGCCTGTACCCGACACGGGCACACACCTTGGCAGGAATTTATCTAGAATCAATTTGCCAGACATTGTAAACAACCCTTTGTAGGCACTGGCTACTTGAAAATAGACTGTGGCAATATTTAGAACTTTGGTTGCACCAGAAAAGTTTGGCTATGTGCTGTTGGGAGGCACTTGCAAGCTGAATCAATTTATACATGGGAAATCATTTCAAAATAATTACTGATGTTCAACTTAGAAGGGACAGTATTTATTTTGGCCACAGACTCACAGTTTTAGCCCCTTCTTCCAAAAGCTGAACTGTAGCAAGATTCCCCCCACCACTTTTCCTGGGGCTTTGAGATTTCCTTACAGAGCAAACACGAATCCATTGCTTAACTATGTTGAATGAGCTCTTGTCTCATGCAATTTCTGTACATCAATGTACAGGACCCTTCATCCCCAATAGAAATGTTTACCTAATCTGGAAAATGTCAGGCCATATGGTGTACATTGTATGAATTTCATCCATCCTTTTTAACTCTTTCTGAAAATCTTTTTGCCTCCCGCTGTCCCTTTGTTGTGGACAAGGCAGAAATGATTAAAGTGGGAAGGAATCAGAAGAGAGGGGGCAGGACGGGAAGGGAGTCAGCAGAAGCACAGATGGGAACGGGGGAGGCCCTTTTCTCTGCTGAAAGAGACATCTTGTAAAGGCCAGGGAAAACTTAGGATCAAGGCAATCTTTGTGTAGAGCAAATGCTAAATAATAAAGGACAATGGGGACCTGAAGATCGCGATGATGCACTTCCAACAGTCACAAGCAACAGGCTCAGCAACTCAGAAAGACCCAGCTTCTTCGGGCTTTGGGCTCCGACTTTCATCCTTAGGTCATAGAAATGGTGACATCTTCACTACGTGAAGAAAAGAGCCATCCCAGCACTGCGCGTCCAGGGAAGAGTCTCAGAGATGGTAAAAGATAGATTACTATTTAAAATAAGTGATATCAAAGAAGAATAAACTATTATGTTTGTGCCAATGCTTATTCATGGTTTTATAACAAGACATATCTGTTTTCTTCATATAAATCTTGACTCTATATTTAGAGTTTGCAAACAATGATTCTAGTTTTTGGCTGCCTGCCACTTCTGATAGAAAGCTGGGATGGCTGAGCTACATTACCACAACATTCAAAAATTCCCAAAATTTCATGTGCAAAACATCTTAACAGGAAGAGGAAACCAAGGCATGTTCATGTGTAGGAAGAGGAGAAAGGAGGTCAAACATTCTCAAATTCAGACTGAGTCTATCTGCAGAGCAGGTAGCTTAGGTTTGCCCGTGTCCCTAAGTCATAGGTATGGGCCCTGACTGGAAACTACTACTTCAGGCTTTCTCCCACACACACTTTTAATTTAAACAAAGGACTCCCAATCTGTCTTGGTCACACAGTCAATTCCTAAGCCATGCTTGAACACCCACTACCTGCTCAGCAAGCAGTGTCAGCTCTGAGGGACCGATAGAGCCTCATATTAAGAAAATGACTATGTCCTTCTTTCAAAGATGTCCAATACTACAGCAAGAATGGCGGGCCCCAGAAAGCTGTCATTAGCTTAATGGCTTTCTTCCTTTTGGGAAAAAGGAGAGAAAGCAAGAATTTCCAGGTTAGCCAATTCCAGAACCCTACTATATTTTGCAGATGTGGATTTAGTTTGATCCATACAACTTTACTATGCTCATTCACACAGCCACTGACATTTTCAAGCTCTCTTCTCAATGGTAAGGATACAAAGACAAGATCTTTCTGACCAATGGGGAAGCTAATAGGCTCTTCCAGAACTCCACAGTAGCAAGTGATTGGAGTAGGTGGACCTTTTGTCTATGTGTTACTTTCATTGGTTAATAAAAAAACTGCCTTGGCTTTTTGATAGGGCAGAATTCAGATAGGCAGAGTAGACAGAACAGAATGCTTGGAGAAAGGAAGCAGAATCAGGCAGATGTCATGATTTCCCTTCCCCAGACGGGCGCTGGCTAGACTCATGCCAGTAAGCCACGACCTCATGGTGGCATACAGATTATTAGGTATGGATTAGTCAAGATGCGAGAGTTAGCCAATAAGAGGCTAGAACTAATGGGCCAGGCAGTGTTTAAATGAATAAAGTTTCCGTGTAATATTTCGGGTGTAAACTAGCCGGGGATCCAGGATCCCGGCGGGAACACAGCCCACCACTCCTTTTACTATAAGGGATGGGTGTACAGTTTCCCAATCTCAGTAAGGAAGGAAGCCACGTTCTACCATGGGCTCCTGGAAGCACAGGCTGAGAAGGGACACTTTCTGAGTGACCCTAAATGAAGAAAATGGAAATCTTAGTAATCTAGGACATAGTTGGAAGCATGTGAGCAGCTCAGTGTGGCCATAGGTACAAAAGACTAAGAAGATTTAGTGGGAGCAAGTGAAGGCAACAAAATAGGCAGTTAAACCCTGAAGACCCATTGGCATACTAAAGATTATAGCTAAACTTTGAAAACTGCAAGAGCCATGAATAAGTCACCAAAAGTCAAGCTGGAAAAATGCTGACGGAACTGACAGGACAGTCAACAAGATAGCTTTGCAAACCACAGAAAACTTTGTGTAAGTACAGAGCAAAATACGGCAAGTAAATTGGAACACGGATAGGAGACTAGAAAGACATGGACTGGAGAGATGGCTCAGTAGTTGAGCACTGGCGGAGGGCGTGGCTTCAGTTCCCAGCTCTCACAGGGCAGTTCACAACTGTCTGTGACTCCAGTCCCAGGAAATCCAGTGCCCTCTCCTGATTTCCACGGGCACCAGGCACAGAAAATTAATAAATCTAAAGAAAGAGATGAAGAAGAGAAGGAAAGAAGCATGTAAAGAAAATATGACATAAAAGAGAAAGATACTCAAGGGCCCGTGGTCTAGAGATGAATTCAAATTTAGAAAATTACAACTGACTCTAATCTAGTGAAAAAGGAAAAAGAATTAGAGAGGGCCGGAAGTCATGTAAGGCAGCTTTCAGGAAAACCTCTGCACTGTTCTGTGCCCACTGCAGACACCAAGTTAAATATATTTCTAGTAAATTGTTTTCTCCCTGCAAAACAGAATGAGAAAGCAAGGACGGCTGACATCAACAGGCACAAGCTGGAGAGAACAGTCCTTGTCAGTTATTTCAGACACCACAACCTTTAAATCACATCTTCAGAAGGGGGAAAAATCACATGCATTAGTCCCATTTGCAACCAGTGTTACTCGGTGTATCAATTAAAAGCACAAAGTGCTCTCCCCACATTCCTTCGACCTAATTTTCAGATATTTATTGGTACATTACACTGAGCATTTCATCACAATTAGTGTGGAAGTGATACAAGGGCCATAGAACACGCGGAGCTTTTCATTATGAGAGTGGTTGAGAAGGGCAAAGACTAAATTGTTAATATCTTAAAAACAAGAGCATTAATTATTAAATAGAAGTAGTAATATATGGAGTTATCTGTAAGAGCAATAGAATATGCCATTTAGACAGTTTTTAATCCCCCATTAGTGATTTCTAACAGAAGCCTTATTAAGTTGTGTAGAGAGTTGAGAAGCATCTCACTAACCCACATGCCATAAATAAGATATTGGCAATAAAGGCAGACTGCAATCTCTATTGGGCTGCCTTGATCCTAACTCAAGATCTTGATCTTGAGTAAATCAAGAGGAAGAGAAATTGAAATGAAAAATAACAGTGTGCTCTAAAATATAGACTCATTTTAATAGCTGGGTAAAATGAAAGTACATGGAAGAAAGAAAAGGAAAGAAGGAAGGAAGAAGGGAGGAAGGAAGGAAAAGAAGGAGGGAGGGAGAGACGGAGGGAGGGAGAGAAAGAGGGAGGGAGAAGGGAGCAAGGAATGTGTGTTTGTTTTGTCTTGTTGTAGGTGTGATTAAGTACTTGACAAGTGCCAACTTCAGGGAACACAGGTTTCCAGGGGTGAAGCCTGTTGTGGCAATGGGTGGCTTTGTGCAGAGAAACATCCAGCAACTGCTTGCTCACATCTTAACAGACCAGAACAAAAAAGAAAGATAAGAAGTTTGCCCTGGCCATACTTCTTGTGGGAGGGTGCCCTAAAGATCTACTTTTTCCATTGTGTCCTCATTCTCAATGGTTTCACAGCCTTTCAAAGATCTCCACAGAGAAAAGGGGGTCCAAACACATGAGGTCATGGGAGACATTGTACATCCAAAAAGAAAAAAAAAGAAAAAAGGAAAAGGAAGGAAACAGAAGGAGGAGGAAGGAAGGGAGGGAGTAGGAGGGAGAGAAGCAAGGTAAGAAGAAAGGGAGAGATAAGAGAAAGAAAGAAGGAAAATTTAGAACACTCTCAGCACATAAATCAACATTCCATGAAAATATTTATTAAAATAGACAATGAGGAGTTATAGCTTTTATTTAAAAAAATTAATTGAGCTGTTCCTTGTCTCTCAGTGAATGTTGGAGGATCAAATATTGACATCAGTAAAATAAAGCATAGATTTCTAAAATCTTCTCTAACCAGTCAATCTGTAAGATGCTCTGCAGCAATATAATTCATATGTTTTCAAATGTTTTGAACTGTTTGTTGAAATCACTGATGCAATACTCCTGGAATACAGACAGACAACTCTACAATTTCTATTCACCTTATACTTACACTACACTCGTTTTTGTAATATGCTTCAAATCAGAGTGATTTCAAACTCTTTGATTTCAAATTTGAACCCATACAAAAATTATAAAATTCACTTTCATGGAATGTTTTAAAAGTAAACTTTTTTAATTAAAAACAATCTTGTAATCATATATCCTAACAATAGGTAAACAGGTCTAATTATAATCCAGATTAAGTTTTAGAAAAATATGATGAAGAAAACATCCATGACTCCAAGCAAACAGTATGGAGTAGAAGGCCGCTTGTTTGTTTCCCAGCTTCCCAGACTCCCAAAATATTCACACAGAAACTATATTATTTAAATAATTGCTTGGTCTATTAGCTCTATCTTTTCATTGGCTTATTCTCACATATTAATTTAACCAATCTCCATTAATCTGTGTATCACCACGTGTCAGTGGCTTACAGGCAACGTTTTGCCATGTCTGTCTCTGGCTGTGGCTGCATGGCTTCTCCCTAACTCCTTCTTCTTTCTTCCAGCATTCAGTTTAGTTCCCCCCACCTACCTCTATTTCCTGCAAAGGTCCAAGACAGTTTATTTATTTACCAATGATATTCACAGCATACAAAGGACAATCCCACATTCACAGCAGAATTTTTTCCACAATCTTCTTCATAGCATTCAACACGGCAACAGAATAGACACCATTAACAAATTTGGAGCAAGATGTGCTGTGATGAGATGCTCCCAGCATCTCATAGCTTCCGCAGGCAATCCTGCTATGGAGAGAAACAGGCACATTCCAAAGGTTCATGGCTGTTCATGCAAGAGCTGTCCAGATACAGTCGAATCTGGAAATTCATCTTAAAGTGCCAAATTCTCCCCCTCGCCCTGGTTAAATGATCAGCATAAACATTTATCCTGTCTTTACTGTAAAACTAAACGGAAACTTGCCCAATAAATTCCAAGCTTGAACTTTTCAAAAAAAAAAAAAAAAGGCCACGAGGAAACAGCTTAGCTTCTGGCTGTCCCTTTCCCTTCTTTTCCAGGGCCCTCAAAGGCACAGGATTTGTGGACCTCTGGACACAGAACATTCCGACACTATACATCTCTGCCGGGGCTCTGGGCTCTACTGCAGTCCTCAAGGGGTTAAGTCACGCGATTCCAAAGTTCAGCGAAGGGGCAGGCTCAACTGAACAGCGGGATTTTTAGAATGTTAATCGTCAGCTCTCCACCGATTGGCTAAGAACAAATGCAAGGTACAGTAAATTGTCCTTGTCAGCTCGGCTCACATGATGATATGCTTTATTTCTAGACATGCCTTGAATCTGTCCCCTGAATTTATGTTCAGAAAATAAACACTTCCAGACGGCAATAAAGCATTCCGTTGTGGCTAGGGCCTGCACGGCCTCACACCCACTGCTTCTCTTTCCTGGGAGGTAGTAAGGGTCTGAGCAGTCCCGGGTCCAAAAATCATATCTCTCTCACTTACCAGGCCAGCACGCAAGAGTTCTATTACAACCAGAACCCCAAGACCAGGATTGCCTTTCTTCGCTCCCCACTTCTGTGTTCTTCCCTCTGCCTTCAGCTTTTTGTTGCTGTTTGACTTTCCTGTAAAGATGTTTCTTTATGATTCCAGTAAAAAAAAAAAAAAAAGAAAAAAAAAAAAGAAAGAAAGAAATCAGCTTTTTTTGCCAAGTGGTAAAATAGAAAGGATGCTGATATTTTATCCATCTTTCTGTTACTTACCTTAAAGCAAGGCAGATTATAGGACCATCACAGGTTTTCTAAGCTTTAGACTCCACATTGCAATTTTATCCAGATCTGAGAATTTTTAAATTATTTACATTTTCATAAAACATCTTTGATTGAGTCGATTTCATCACTTACCCATTTTCAAAGGAAGAGAATAGTGATTTGATGTCTATGTATATGTGTTGTGATTTCTAATATACTAAAAATAAATGTATCACTATTATTATTACACTGTTTACGAAAGTTCCCTGAAATAGCTTTCTTTACACAATTCTAGAACAACACAGAAATCACAAGGAAGATTAACACAATATAAATAAAATAGAACAATAACAAAGATATCAAAACTTCACAATGTGTTTATTTAATAAAAGTTAAAGTGAAAGGCTGCTTCCCTTTCACCTGAGAAAGACAGTGAACAACCAGGATTCACATGAGTGGCTGACTGACTTTTAAATCATGGGCTCCACAGATTCCTCGTGAGTACCTAGTTAGTGTTGGTTTGTAACTTGTTGTATTTATGATCATATTCTACACTGGTACCCGCAGATGACAACTGTTTGGAGAAGATGCCCACTGAGACATCTGCAGGACCACATAGATGAGAAATAGGCTACAAATAAGGTGACAAGGGGAGAGAATGGAGTCTTACTGCAGATCCAAGAAGAGCGGGTTGAGTTGGACTGTACATGTCTCTTTAAAACTGAAGAGAGGAAATGCAGTGATTTCTAGTTGTAGGCAAAGCTCTGTTGATGAATATGAGAGTCGTGGCCAGTAATTAAAACCATATGGCTTGCCAGAGAATAAATTGCATCAGGTGTCCTCAGTTTGGCTATTAATATAGGTTGCCGCTGAACCATAGGAGCGGTTTCCCTCCTGGCTTCCCTCTTACTGTAGCAACCCTTACTATTCTCTTTCTCAAGAGAGCACCATGGAAACCAAGCAAAACGCACTCTTAGGACCGTCTCAAATTCTCTACCAAGAGATTATGACATCATCCCAGTTCACACATGGAAGGATTTAGTGTCAGTACAGGAACTGAAGTTACTCCTAGCAGTCTCGGTAAGGCCGGCCCTCTGTGAATTGGTTGATGGGACTCTTACAGTGAATTCTCCTGTGGTCTTTCTGTTTGCTACTTACAACACAAGCCTAAAAACTGGTGAAACATGACCTAAACTCACCTAAGAAAGCTAAGAAAGTTTTTGGGCTTTCTCTCATCTTCAATCACCATTGTTCACAAGGAAAGATAGTTTTCTTTAAGCTAGGAGAAGAATTTAAGATTATAACAAACAAACTTTAAGTTAGAAAAAAGAGGAGGGGCATCCCCACTAGCCAGTCAGCAGGTAAGACCCCTGTGGGCAGGCCACTCCACCTCCTCTCCCATAGGACCCTGTAATCTACAAGTCCCAACTCCCCCCACAAATCATGGAACCCATCATCTTTCACCCCAACCACCATTCCCTCAGCATCAGAGACCCCCAGAGGCACAGGCACTGCCTGTACTAATTGGAGGAAGAGATGGGTGGGCAGTAATGTAAGAATACACTCAACAACATAAAGAGTAATATGACACCACCAGGAACTAGTAGTTGTACAACAGTAAGACCAGGACATCTCAATACAGAAGAAGCAGAAGAAAATTACATTAAGAATAAGTTTTTGAAGATGATATAGGCCCTTAAAGATGAAATGAAGATTTCCCTTAAAGAAATCAAGGAAAAGACAAAAAAAATGGAAAAAAAATCAGTAAAACCTTTTTTAAAAGCCAAGAAAAACAATCAAACAGGTGAAGGAAACAGTTCAAGACTTAAAAATTAAAATAGAGGCAATAAAGAAAACACAAACTGAAGAAACTGTGGAAAAGAAAAATCTGGGTAAATGAACAGGAACTAGCAAATACAACTAACACAAGGCAAATAATGAAAGAGACAATATTGTGCATGAAAAGACGATAGAAGAAAGAGATTCATCAGTCAAAAAAAACATTAAAGTCATCAAAGTCATATCACAAAACATCCAGGAAATCTGGGACAGCATGAAAAGACCAAAGTTAAGAATATTAGGTATAAAAGGAGACCAATACAAGCTCGAAGGCATAGAAAACATTCAACAAATCATAGAAGAATACTTCCCCAAACTTAAAAAAATGGATATGAAGATACAAGAAAGCTTACAGAACAACACATAGACTGGACCAAAATAAAAAATGACCCCTTATCACATAATAATCAAAACACTAAACTTACAGAATAAAAGAATAATATTAAGAGCTGCAAAGAAAAAAATGCCAAGTAACATAAAAAAAAAACAGATCCATCCAAATAACACCCAACTGCTCAATGGAGACTCTGAAAGCCAGAAGATTCTAGACAGATGTTATGCAGACACATGAATGCCAACCCAAACTAACATGCCCACCAAAGTTTTCAGTCACTATAGACAGAATACAAGATATTCCATGACAAAACCAGATTTAAACAATCTCAATCCAAAAAATTCACTCCTACAGAAAGTACTAGAAGGAAAACTCCAACTAAAGGAAGTTAGCTGCACCCATGGGGGAAAAAAACAACCAATAGGTAATTCCTTACCAGCAAATCCCTAAGAAGGGCAACACATAATACTACCATCACCAACAACAAAGAAAGAAAGAAAAAGAATTAACAATCACTGATAATTAATATCCCTTAGTATCAATGGACTCAATTTGCCTATAAAAAGATAACAGCTAATAGACTGGATACAAACACAGGAGTTGTCCTTAGCTGTATACAAGAAACACACCTCAACTTCAAAGACAGACATTACCTCAGAGTAAAGGGGAGGGGGTGTTTAATCTAATAAACTTACGGAGCAAGCTGGTGGAGCTATACTAATATCTAACAAAATAGACTTTAAACCAAAATTGATCAAAAAAAAGCTGCAGAAGAATATTTCATATTCATCATAGGAAAAATTCATCAAGAATTTTTCAAGAAATTCTTGAATCAAGAAAGTCTCAATTCTGAATATCAACGCCCAAAATACAAGGGTACCCAGTTTGAAAAAGAAATATTACTAAAGCTTAAATTACACATCAACCCCTGCACGCTAATAGTGGGAGAATTCAATAAACCACTCTCAACAATGGACAGGCAGGACTTCCAGAAAGAAAATTAAGAGAGGAATAAAGGAACTAACAGATGTGATGATTCAAATGGGCTTAACTGACATCTGTAGAACATTCCAACCAAACACAAGAGAATATATATACCTTCACCTCATGGGATCGTCTGTAAAACTGGTGATATACTTGGTCACAGAGCAAATCTCAAAATACAAAAAAAAATGGAATATATCCCCCATCTTGTTGAATCACCATGACTTAAAGCTAGAAGATAATAGCAACACAAATTATAGAAAGCATACAAACTCATGGAAACTGAATAACACTCAATTGGCTCACTATTGGGTAAAGGAAGAAATAAAGAAATTAAAGACTTCCTAGAATTCAGTGAAAATGAATATACAACATACCAAACTTACAGGACACTATGAAAGCAGTGCTAAGAGGAAAGTTCATAACACCAAGAGCCTATGTAAAGAATTTGGAGAATTCTCACACTAGTGACTTAACAGTACACCTGAAAGCTCTAGAACAAAAAAAAAATCAAACTCACCCAGGAGGAGTAGATGACAGGAAATTATCAAATTAAGGGCTGAAATCAATAAAATAGAAAAAAGAGAAAATTACAAAGAATTAATGAAGCAAAGAATTTATTTTTTGAGAAAAACAACAAGATAGACAAACCCTTATCCAAAATAACTAAAAGGCAGAGAGAGAGAGAGAGAGAGAGAGAGAGAGAGAGAGAGAGAGAGAGAATATCCAAATTAACAAAATCAGAAATGAAAAGGGGGACATAACAATATACACTAAGGAAATTCAGAGAATCGTCCTGTCATATGTCAAAAACCTGTACTCCATAAATTTGAAAAATTTAAAAGAAACAAACAATTACCGGGATAGGTACCGCATACCAAAATTAAATCAAGACCAAATAAACAATTTAAATAGCCCTATAACTCCAAGGAGAATAGAATCAGTCATTAAAAGTCCCCCCCCCCCCAACAAAAAAAAGGTCAGGGAAATGGTTTCAGCACAGACTTCTACCAGAATTTCAAAGAAGACCTAATACCAATATTCCTCAAATGTTCCACACAATAGAAAAAGAAGAAACATTGCCAGATTCTTTTTATAAGGCTATAGTATATACCTATATAGTAAGGAAGTATACGGTATTACCCTGATATCCAAATACACAAAAATGCTGCAAAGTCAGAGAATTACAGACCAATCTTTTCTATGAGTATTGATGTAAAAATTCAATAAAAGTACTCTGCAAACAAATATAAGAACACATTTAAAAGATCAAGCAGGCTTAATTTCAGAGATGCAGAGATGGTCCAACATACAAAAATTTCTCAATGTAATCTACCATATAAACATTATGAAAGAAAAAAACCACAAGATCATATGATTACATGTTGAAAAAGTCTTTGAGAAAATCCAACCCCTTCATAATAAAAATAAAGGTCTTGGAAATATCAGGAATAAAAGAAAAGGAGCAAAGCTAAACATAATAAAAGTAATATATTGTCAGCTGCCCTCTCTCTCCATACCTATTCAGTATAGTAATAGAAGTTCTAGCTAGAGTAATAAGACAACAAAAGAAGATCAAGGGATACAAACTGCAAAAAAAAAGAAGTCAAACTTTCCTTGTTTAAAATGATATTATAGAATACATAAGTGACCCCAAAATTATACCAGGGAACTACTATAGCTGATAAACACCTTTAGAAATGTGGCAGGATATAAGATTAACACAAAAAAGTCAGTAGCCCTTCTTTATATAGATGATAAATGGGCCAGGAGAGCAATCAGAGAAACATCACCCTTTACAAGAACCACAAATAATATAAAATACTTTGGAGTAACTATAACCAAACAAGTGAAAGTCTTGCATGACAAGACCTTTAAGTCTTTGAAGAAGGAAATGGAAGAAGATATCAGAAAATGGAAATATTTCCCATGCTCTT